ACATTAGTAACTAAACTGATATCATTAAACAGGAGCGCGGCAAGTTGCCTTATAGATTCAAGACACAAGATATCAGTATGCAGTGCCTTGCATCTATATCACCAATTAAAACTTGGTGCAAGTCAGACATGCTTGACTCCCATTATAGTGCCACAGCTGTTGCTCTAAAACGAGCTCATGGTCTCAGTCCAGTTCTTAGCTGGCGGGTATCCATGTCAAACAAAAAGGACACCAGCATAATTAGTTCTTACCAAAGAAACCAAATCACCCAGAAACTCTCATATTTCTAGTAGCTGCTTCCCATGAAACACTACCCTCTAAGAAGAGCTTGATGCACTAGTTGTATTTTTTGCTGTTACTGAAATCCAGATTTCTCCAATCATCAGTATAGCTGAGAGGCCTCGATGCGACTGCAGAGCGTTACAAAATGTCCTTTTAAGATTCTTACAATTGTTCCAATTACTTTCTTGTAATGGTTTCAACCTCTTCAACCACGTTCTGGAAGAAAAATATTCTAAAGTAACTACAAAGTTGAGAACCGGCAATTAGACATTCTAAAAATAGGCCAGAGCTATTGCTGCAACCCTTTTTGTGAGGAAAATCGTAACGCCGAAGGAAAAATACAATCATCAGATTCACAAACGTGCAATACCAATTACTTTGTCACAGAAGTTTTCATTGTACGCAGCATTTCCATGCGCATCAGGAAATTAAATGAGAAACGCTGTCTTCCTCATACCCACATTGGCTCCCTGTGCTGGAAGCAGCAGCAGCAATTTAGGATTGTCTCAGTTTCTAAGACTGTAAGTCTTAAGAAGTCTAATATCTAGTGCCTCCTAATTCATATAGGAAGAATATACACTTATGCATATAAAATAAACAACTGGATCTGGAAATAGGTAGATTATAGCAACTATATCAAGCAGTATTCTGTGAACAAGTATCCAGCTTTGCAACTAGTTAACTGAAGCACTTTCAGCCTCCTAAGCAAAATTTCAATAAGCACAATATATCTAGAATTAAAATGCTGTAAAGCTAGTAAGAAAGTCTAATAGTAGCGGCCTAAAGCCATGCTGATCTTTACCAGCAAGAGTATTTACCAGTATCTCTTCAAAAAGCCTGAAGTGTCCCACTCTCTCCAAAAATTGTTTCAGTGGCACAGATCTTCCAAAGATGTCTTGATTCTCAGAGAAGTAAAGAAGGGGGTCAGTAGAACTGCTACCTTGGGCTTCCAGAGGGCAGACTTTGGCCTGTTTAGGAAACTGGTTGACAGAGTGCCTTGGGAGGCAGTCCTGAAGGGCAAAGGAGTCCAGGAAGGCTGGACATTCTTCAAGAAGGAAATCTTTAAAGTCAAGGAGCAGGCCATCCCCATGTGCCAACAGATGAGTCGGCAGAGAAGATGGCTGCCCTGGCTGAACAGAGAGTTTTGGCTGGAACGCAGGAAAAAACAGGAGAATTTCTGACCTTTGGAAGAAGGGGCAGGCAACTTAGCAGGACTGCAAAGGTGTTGTGAGGTTATGCAGGGAGAAAATTAGAAGAGTCAAAGCCCAACTAGAACTTAATCTGGCTACTGCCGTAACAGACAATAAAAAATGTTTCTATAAACATACATTAACAACAAAAGGAGGGCTAAGGAGAACCTCCATCCTTTGTTGGATGGAGGTGAAACATAGCGACAAGGGCTGAGGAAAAGGCTGAGGTACTTAATGCCTTCTCTGCCTCAGTCTTTAGTAGTAAGACCAGTTGTTCTCCAGGTACCCAGCCCCCTGAGCTGGAAGACAGGGATGGGGAGCAGAATGAAGCCCCCATAATCCAAGGGGAAATGGTTAGTGACCTGCTACACCACTTAGACACACACAAGTCTATGGGGCCAGATGGGATCCACCCAAGGGTACTGAGGGAGCTGGCAGAGGTAGTCACCAAGCAACTTCCCATCATTTTTGAGCAGTCCTGGTTAACTTGGGAGGTCCCAGTTGACTGGAGGTTAGCAAATGTGATGCCCATCTGCAAGAAAGGCCGTAAGGAAGATGTGGGGAACTACAGGCCTACCGATCTGACTTTGGTGCTGGGGAAGACTATGGAGCAGATCACCTTGAGTGCCATCACACGGCATGTACAGGACACCAGGTGATCAGGCCCAGTCAGCATGGGTTTATGAAAGGCAGGTCCTGCTTGACAAACCTAATCTTCTTGTATGACGAGGTGACCCTCTTAGTGGATGAGGGAAAGGCTGTGGATGTTGTCTACCTAGATTTTAGCAAAGCCTTTGACACTGTTTCCCACAGCATTCTCCTGGAGAAACTGGCTGCTCATGGCTTGGATAAGCATACTCTTTGCTGGGTAAAAAACTGGCTGCATGGCCGGGCCCAAAGAGTGGTGGTGAACGGAGTTAAATCCAGCTGGCGGCCGCTCACAAGGGGTGTTACCCAGGGCTCAGTACTTGGGCCAGTTCTGTTTAATATCTTTACCAATGATCTGGACAAGGGGATCAAGCGCACCCTCGGTAAGTTTGCAGATGACACCAAGTTGGGCATGAGTGCGCATGGGGCACTGAGGTGCTGGAGGGTGTCCAAAGAAGGGCAATGAAGCTGGTGAAGGGTCTAGAGTGCAAGTCTTATAAGGAGCAGCTGAGGGAACTGAGATTGTTTAGCCTGGAGAACAGGAGGCTGAGGAGAGACCTTACTGCACTCCACAATTACCTGAAAGGAGGTTGCAGCAAGGTAAAGATTGGTCTCTTCTCCCAAGTAACAAGTGATAGGACCAGAGGAAACGGCCTCAAGCTGCTCCACGGGAGGTTTAGTTTGGATATTAGGAAACATTTCTTCACGAAAAGGGTTGTCAAGCATTGGAAGCAGCTGCCCAGGGAAGTGGTTGAGTCACCATCCCTGGAGGTATTCAAAAGACATGTAGATACAGTGCTCAGGGACATGGTTTAGTGGTGGACTTGGCAATGTTAGGTTAACAGTTGGAGTCGATAATCTTGAAGGTTTTTTCCAACCTAAATGATTCTATGATTCCATGTTACTGTTTCACAATTTGCAGTAGTTTGGAAAAAAGGAAACCAGAACGTCTGGTCTTTTTTAACTAGAGGTATTTTTTAGCTTAAGTCAATTAAGTATAAGATCACTTGGATTGTTAAGGGTTCATATACGTATATACTAACCTTCAAAAGCTACACAGGTTATATATCTCTTCCTGACTACATTGACTAGGCATCATCACTCAGAGATTATACTGAAGCCTACGGAGGATCCATGGATTCAGAATTTTCTCTAGCAAGACAGCCAGAAAATCGAGACCTCTACACTTCAACCTGACTCTTTTTGTTGCATCTGGAAGTAGACCAAACTTCTGTTTTTAATCATGGAAAGATGTGTTCACATAAGCTCTGCTTTACCTTTATCACAGTGTCTCAATTTTGTTTTTAATTCCCCACAATCTAGTTCAGTTCACCCTAAAAGATAGGAGAACCAAACACAGATGGATATTGTCACTAGTTAGAGGAAGTTTTCTTTCAGTCACTGAAATATTCCTATTACTAACTAAACCCCTACAGTAGAGGCCACCTGCTGTTACCTATGAAGAACAGCAGATGTTTACAGAAAATACCGGCCTTTCTTTAATGGAAAATGGGATTCCTGTAACACATAGCAGTATCTCTTTATTGCAGTTTAACAGTGCTCAGCAGAAATTTTTCCTTGGGCGACCAAGAAGTCTCCAACCCACATCCAAAATGAACCAATCTCCAGTTGTGCATTCTCCTATATCTCCTACCTAGCACGCTCCTAATTTCTGTGTGGTCTGTCTTCTGCTCTGTTTTCATTTTCCTGGTTCTCTCTGTGCCTCATGCTTTGGCAGAGGATCACACCAGATCTAGTTCGTAGCCTGTGACCAAAGAAACATGATGGATAATTTAACCTTGTTAGCTGCAGATAGAGTCATCATCTTAGTTTTACTTTCCCCAAACTATCTTCTACCTTGCAATTTTAAGTCTGCTTTATTTGTTCCAAATTGCGTCACCTAGCATGCAATTATAATCAAATGCATTTCATAGACCACAGGCATTCAACTATGCCATTAAACCCACTGTTTCAGAGCATGCTCATTTAGAATCAGCTGCAAATTTAAGAGGCTGGAGCAGAACTGCAGTGGGACAAGTGCTGAGCCAGAGGGATGTCAATTATACTCCGTGAAGTGTCTTTCTGGTTTGACTTCCTTCTCAGATGTATTAAAAAGTTGACTTACCTAGCCAGTTATTTACTTACATAGTATCAACACTCCCCCTTGAAGGTTAGCACGTCTCACCAAAACCGGAGTGACCAAAAGATAACCGCTTTAAAAAGACTGGAAACTTTGCAGTTATGAGCCTCATAAACCAGCTTAAGCTACCTTAAATCTTAATGACAAACATGCAACATGAGCAAATGCAGAAATCGCATTGTATGTAAGAATGAGGGAATGGAAGTGACACATCCTGAGGGCAGATGATTAACAGCTAGCTCAAAAATTTGATTAAGTATGTGAACAGTAATCCTTACTTCACAATTACAGGAATAAACATAATCTCTCACTGACAATTATTATACAGATGAAAATAGTGCTTTAAACACATATGACTTGCAAAAAAGACATTTATGGAGATTTAGAGGTATCTTTCCTTCCCCCAGAATGCAATACATCACTTCAACGAAACACGATAGTAACATTCAATCTTTTAAATTGGAGACAAAATAAGTTGCAGCCTCACCTCCCCCACAAAAAGGCAGCAGCTTCAGAAGTAAGTTTTCTTGGCTACTGATAACAGTATGTTGTTTGGATACAGTACAAGTTCATAGAAAATGAGATGTTTCTTGTCCCTGATACTTAAAAAACAAAAAAAAAGTCATTATTCAATAGTGACAAATAAAGCTGAAATTATGTATTCATGGCATGGTATGGCATTCCAAGCCTGGATGTAGAACAAGCCACACACACAAGAAAAAGCTTCAGAAACTGCATAGAATTCAAATAATTTTGTAGAAAATAATTTTTATTTGGCTCCTTTCATACACTTTTTCAAAAAGAAATGCACATTCATACAGTTTACCTTTCCCAGTGCATGCCTGGATTTGCTCACATAGAGGCATTAGTATCAAGGCCAAAGGTGCCTTTGAAATAATTTCAGACACATTGTATTTCGACTGTAAATCATCCAAAGTTACTAATTTTCTAATTATAACTTGAAAAGAACCGTTTCAGGTGTTTGTTCTCCGATTCACACATATAACTGTCCCACACAGGGAAGAGGAGACAGACCTGCAACAAAGAACTGTCAAGCCAATGGCTAATACTCATTTCAGGTAGAGCTAAAGACAGGTTCTCTATTTCATACTGAATTGGGATAGAAAAGAAAAACCCAGCCAGGTAACTTGCTCTTTTCAAAAGCTCTAAAACAGAAATGATAAAACATTGCTTCAAAACTAGAAATCAGCCATTGGTAATGAGAGTTTGTCTGCAGAGAAAGCACTCCTTCCCCAGCTGCTTCTCATGGCCAGGTCTCTTTCCTGTTGATGGTGACTGGAAATTTGTTTCTTGCTGCTGCTTCTTAAACAATTCATGAAGAGGAGTAAATTCAGCTCAGGCATTCATACATCACATTAGGTACTAACCCATCAAGTAGCCCCTACAGAAAACAAATTTAAATTAGAAAAACAGGTTAGCAAACACAAGCAGCACTCCTCAAAAATCAAGAGACATACGGTCTTCAAACAAAAACTTCAGACTGCCAAAAACTTTGCTGATCAAGGCTATTTAAAACAAAATCCTGTCCAACGTACAAACTGGCCAGCTTAACTACACCCTCCTTCCTTGGCTGATTTTCTTCAATGAACACTGAAAATGGATTAGCCTGTTCTTAATCCATCTTTGGTAATTGTTTGGAATTTCTGAAGCCCAGATTACACCCTATGAAAGGTTCTTTATTTGTACCCTTCACATAAACTACCAGTGTTAAGATATTCAGTATAACCTAACATTTTCTGGCACTCAACACAACTCTGGTCTCTTTTGCTCTTCCACTTCTCTGAAGCCCTGTTTCTTTAATGAGTTTAAGAAACAGAACTGTTAAAATACATATACTCAATGAAGCAAGAAAATATACAGCAGGTCCCTACCCAGCTACCTGCTGCCAGGGAATGCATCGCTTTTGTGTTATGAAACAAAATTTATAACTACACTGCAGAGGTTAAAAAAAATATTTAAGAAAGGAAGAATAACTGTCATTTTTAAGTCAACACCTCATGGAACTGCTCCAGAAATTAACTACCAGTACCTCCAACCATCAGGTTTCAGCTATTCTAAATGAAATACATGAACTGAGAAATAAAGAGGGGGAAAAAAAAATATGAATATCCTGCATTTGGATTTTGCACAGCCTAAAAGCTCCAGATCTTTCCTACTTTTTCATCTGTGAATACAGATGTATTAAAGTGTTCACGTATATTGTATGCTTCAATGTTATGTTCAGTTTTCCAGCAACAAAAAATAACCTGAGACATCATCTTTACTTTAGGACTGCCTTGGATGTTTCTGAATGCTCATTAATGCTGCCATCAGTTCTTCTAGTTATGATCTCTCATGTACACTGTCAGGATAAAGAACTCATTTGCCATCGTTCAAGTGCTTTGATGCTTTTTCCTCAAAGCCCTACCTTGTAGTTACATTTCCCTGACCAGTACATACTCAATCTACGTTAAACTTCATTTTAAGTAAGACTCACTAATCATATCTTCTGACATACCAGGAACGGTCACCTTTTTTTAACCACAGCACAATCTTACAGTAGCTGGCCCCAAAAGCATCCCACCTCATTCAAGACAGCTTGTTCCACAAAGCATTGAAAAAAGCAACTTATAGCCAAGCTGCAGATCTTTAGCATACCTCATTGTATCTTCTGTTAGTCTTAAATTTAACATAGGCACACATGAGCCTATGTTAAAAGAAGAAAAGCTGCAAGAATATCAAATCACTTACGGTAATTTCATCCTCATGAAAACTCTGGCCATGAAGAAGCTCAAAAGCACGCTGACAAATCCAATAAAGAGCAAAAGAAACCTGTTCAGCTTGGGGATATTTGGTGCATTGGATCGGTCCAGAATTATGAATCCTAGGCCGCCCATTGTGAAGAGGAAGCTGGATGCGAGCCCTTCCATAATATATTGCCCGTTTACTCTAAAGGGGAAAAAAGGGTGGGAGAGAGAAGAGAGAGTCAGAAAAAGCTTAGTTTTAAAGAAGCTATTTACATTTCAAACCCCATCTACTCAACCCGCTTTAGCTGTACAAATATCCAGGATGATTAACTTTGATGGCTGGCTTTCTAAAAAGAAGCAGGTATGGAAACTGATGTTATGCAATTACATCAAGGTTTTAATATGTAATTTATCTCCAGGACTGATAGTCTGTAAGGTGACCAATCAATCATACTAGTGGTTTTATATGTAATAGCATATACTGATGGCTACCATGCAAGCTCATCAGTTTTCAGAAATACCTGGTCGAAAGTAGCACCTGACTTCACAGATGGCTCGAGGCATGGAACCATGACCCCTAGGCCGATGAGTTTTCCAAATCTTGTTTCCCTCCTGATGTTTAGGCAGCAGTGCCTGAATCCTCATCTCGGTACAAGTCCCACTCAAAACACTATGTCAGTGCACAAAGCACATCTACTGGTTCCAGCACACAGCAAAAGCGGTTCTTGCCTGCAGTATGTTTTGCTACCGGCTCACTGAACCTGCACATATTGATTGTGGGGACCCAGCCTGAAAGTGCCCCGGCTCTCTGTCAGTCCACACAGATGGATTTCCTTCTTACAAAGCTCAGATGGAGAGAGGGGAAGCCAAGATGCAGAAAGAATATTGCACCTGGATCACGAGTCCTGCTTCCAACAGTCACTGAACCTTTTTTCTATCCTTGTAATTAGCAATACTAGCAACCTCATAAAATCGGCATGGATGAAACTACTGTGGATGCTAATACAGGAATTAAGATTATCATTACTGTCTCATATCCTGAAAACAATTGATTTTATCATCTTTCATGTTGTTTTCACTGACTTGTACTAAAGTTCTATCAACTCCCTGCAGTTGCCTGATTCATCTACATCGCAACAATCCAAGCCAGTCCAAGACATACACTACACCTAGTCCAAGTCAAAATCTGTACATGAGGCAGGTCACAGACCTCCCAGATTCAAAGAACTCTTTTGGTATTTAACAATGACCATTATTTGTTTCCACATACATAAAAACCCACAGTTACAACTGTAGATTTAACCCTCTTCAGAGCAATGTTACTAAGCAGTCTCTAGTTTATTTTCAGTAACAGAAGCAAAACTCGAAGACATTATTGTTACACATTTGTGAGTTCCCCACCCTCAGACACTAGAGTCCTAATTACACTAGAGTTTAAAAGTCCAGAACCAAAAGTTTCACAAATATTATATATGCTGCTATGAAATATGATCAAGTGTGTCTGCATCCATTATAAAACTCAACATTAACAGCAAGGGTTTGGAAGAAAGAGAAGAATTGCCAGCTCAAAACTTTTGTCTTACCAGACTTTTCATTCTTAAAAATTTTAGAAGGACTGAGTTTTTCTATTTCTAAGTGTGTCCGCATCCATTATAAAACTCAACATTAATAGCAACGGTTTGGAGGAAAGAGAAGTATTGCCAGCTCAAAACTTTTTTCTTACCAGACTTTTCATTCTTAAAAGTTTTAGAAGGACTGAGTTTTTCTATTTCCATTGATTTAAATGCTGCTTTTTTTTTTTTTTTCCAAATCTTTGCAAACCAAGGACTGATATAGAACAGATCCTGCCTTGCACAGAGAGCTCAAAGAAGAGTGGACGCGCAGCTCTGCGAGATGGAATTATTCACTTGTGCTGAGGCACTTGCAGCACCTCGCTGGCAGGGGCAGAGCCCTGCTCCCACCCTCCTACCTGTACGCCAAGAAGGCCACCGGCCTCTGGTGCCCGTGCTCGTCTGTCATCGACCCCACACTGGGAGGTTCCACAATCACGTCGTAGATAATCCCTGCGGAGAGAGAAGCAAGCACCACCTTTGACTCGCAGCAGCAAACAGCGAGAACCACCCTAACGCTGCCGGCATGCTCGGAGTCACCCGAGGTTCGTGTTTTACGACCGATCTGGAGCCGGACAAGCGGCCTGCAGCAGCAGCGGCGGCTCTGCCACCCGGGACAGGGTCCAGCAACGCGCTCCACAGAGGACGGGCTACTCCGTAAAGGGGGGTGTAGGGGGGTGGGGGTGTCTCTCTGCCGCTG